TGGTTTCTTTTGACCATATTAGTTTCTTTGAGATGCCTTGATCTTCAACAAGCTGATATAAAATATTGACACCCCTACTAGCGTATTCAGTACTTTAGTGCTAGACCTCTTAGAGAGTGTTCAAATTTTAATTTTTTAATTTTTTATTTGTTCAGGCTTCATAGACTCTTTAGAAAAGGTAGTGCATAAATATTACCCTAAAAGAAAAATTTTGAAGTGTTCATGTACGATTGACTATAACAAATGTTTCTCAACCTCCTTAGTATGTTTTCCGCTAAAGCTCATTATCAATTTAAACCTTAAGGTTTACCACCTTTTTTAAATTACACATTTACTTTGGTGTTCCCACCTTCACTTTAGTTTTTATAGGGAGATTCATCTCGTCTCAGGGTCTTTAACTCGATAATTGTTTGGTGAACCTTTTTTTATCACGATTTCAATGTTATTCCTATTCATAAAGCTACGATACTCGAAATTATCTCTTTTGTCTGTTACTTTAGTGGACCTCTAACTAGAGTATTCAAGTGTCAGAAAGTCTTCAACTTGACAACTTGAACGAAACTCACTTCATAAAGTTTGGACTTTCCTCTATAGTTGCTTTAGACTTACCTCCTAAGATTATCAGCTCAATACATTCAGTGAAGTGCCTCTAGTAATTAACTGCGTTTAATTCATGAAAGTGTCTCATTAACCTTTTGAGTATTCAGCTTCAAGATTTCTTAAGCTCATCAATAAGAGCTTTTTATAGTCTAAGTGTTATTGAAGGTAAGAAAATTTCATCTTTAAAGGTCAATTTTCCAAGCAACTAACTAAAGTTCAATTCGTTTACTCCACCATTCTGTTTGTGAAGATTATGGATGATCATCGAATATCCTAAATAGAATTACAATATAAATGGTCTAGCAACACTGTTTACATCGGTTGTCCCATCTTACCTATTTACTGGAAGACCCATACTTCATTTATGACTTGTATCAGAAGAAGACCAATTTCGTACCTAAGAAGGCTAGGGTGTGACACTAGAGTCATCTTTTGAAGAAGGGTAATCTTGATAAAATCAAGGGATATTATCTTAGAAGAACGATCAAAGTAGTTTGTTTTTATGAGGGGTGTAATCTTGTTACTTATAAAAAATCTATAACCCTAATTCTTAAAAGAACTTTTAGTTGATATTTAAAGAACTTCAAGATTAAAATTTTCTTATTGCTTATAACCTTATAATGTAGCATATATTTGAACATAAGCAATTTACAAACTTTTAAGTAAAAGAAAGAAGGAAAAAAAGAAAAATAAATTCAAACAATATATAATGCAAGTTTCACGAAGCTTAATAGTTTTTTTTTTGTTTCGCATCAGAATACCCCGTTACTCATCAAATGTCCATGCACCTAACTAAATTATGGACTTTTCTTTTTAGTACCCTACAATTCTCAGTAGTATGCCCTGAACTTCCTATGTGGTAGCTGCATACAACATTAACATCATAACCTTCAGGGTGCATATGCTCTTTTGGCTTAGATTGAGCTAGAGTTATAAGATTTTTTCCAACAAATGTTGGGAGTAACTCCTCATATGTTATTGGGATATGATCGATTGGAATCTTTTCTCCAAAAACTTTATAAGATTTGGTTCCTTTATTAGCTGAATGGGATCTCATCGTATTGATCTCGACTCCTTATCTTATCATTCCTAACAACCTTTTCATCATTTCTTTGTACATGAACATGGTAATGGACTATCTTTCAATCAATGATGAACGCACTTGAGCTGCAATATCCCTTTATCGTTGTGCATATGACCTAAAGCTCTCATTATGCTCCAGTTATATGTTTTTTTAATGTTTTTTGAATCTGTGGCCATATCCGTCATGTGTTTGTATTGACCCAAGAAAGCATGAGTTTAATCCTTCTAAGAGCAAATTTGAGTATGGCTTAGTTGATTGTAATATTTTGATGTCGGTCCAGTCAAACTATCTTGAAAACAGTGGATCAACATTTGATCATTGTCGGTATACCCAATCATCATTTGACAAAACACCGTGAGATGAGCAATGGGACAAATGGTTCCACTAAAATTTTTCAAAATCAGACATTTTTTTAATTTGGGTGGGAACACCAAGTTAGGAACCAATACTAAATTTATTGCGTATATTTCATATTGAGAGCTTTGTCCTTTCATTCCTTTGAAGAAGTCCTTGCAGCAGTCCTTCAAATATTTAGGTACTTCTTTCCTGCCTTTGTTATATTCTTCAAGATTGTTTTGAGGATTTGTCCCTACGACTTGTATCTTAGTGATCGAGGAACCTCCTAGATATTTAGGTAGTTTTGGAGTAGTTTGTACCACGGTACATTTAGAATTTTCAAATTATGAGATGCTTGCCACACTCAGTCCAAACAACTTTGCCATTATCTAGTCGACCATAGTAGCTTAGCTTTGTGTGATGGAATATGAAGTAATCTTTTGATTTTGGTTCATATCTTGTTGCAGCTTCAATAGATTATCCTCTAACTAATCCAAACTTTGTTCTATCTTCTTTGTTTTTGCTCGAGTGTTGTGCGTGTTTGAATCATCCATTATCTTTTTCCCAATCAAAAAAATCTTTATTACTCTATCTTGATTTCAATGATGGATGCATAATGTTAGTAAAAATTTAGGACGCAAAATGCATGAAAAATGTGAGGCATTGATGCCAAAAGTAATTATCATATAACAACTTTAACTGAACAAAAGTTTTATTACAAAGAAACTAAAAAAATAAAAAATATGTTTAAGTTATGTTCTCTAAATTCTGAACTTCTTCCAAAAGGCCCAAAACTCTTCTTCTTCCTGTGGTGCTGGCCGGATACCCCGATGAACATCTCTCCATGATGAGCCATCTTGTTGAATCATTTCAAGAAAGTCTAAATAATTGCATCTCTATTTTCTCAATTCTTGAATGTTATTCTGTTTGGCACTATATTAGAACATATTTTTGTCAATTTTGACAAGTGATCTTCCTTAAGGTTATCTCATCTATCCTTCTTTTTAACTAGTTTCGTCTGCATTCTTAATTTCAGGAATTATAAACCCTTCATCCATCGATGAAAACTGTTCCAATTGGACAACCACCTCGCGGATCAACTTCTATGTTATGATGCAAAATGATGGAATAAGAAAAAGAAACAAAACAAACAAAGAAATATGTCAGTACGATAAATGAATAAAATTAAAATTAAAATTGCAATAATTTCTAACCCACATACTTTTATTCCTATTTGAACATGATTTTTACCCGCAAGCTTTTTGGCATAATAATAAATCCTAACCACATATATCTCTAGTTCACATGCTTCGAACAATAAAATATCAGGGAATAAATTCAATCATTCTTATGATTTCACTTTGTGGTGGGCTCTAAATTTATGCCAACACAGTTTTGTTCTAAAAGGTACTTGAGTTCTCCTTGTCGGCACTCCTTTGGGTTATCCGACCCTTGATCCTAAACTCATCACATGCTCATATGGATCAAGTTAAACTCGAGAGAATACATTCCCCTATGTCTGACACAGAGAATAAATTTCCATGAAGACATAAGGCATATGAAGCCCGAAGATTGGTAAAAGGTAAAATTTAGGTATCCAAGCTTACATAATCCAAAAAGGTTGGTTGTGACTCCAAAAAGATAAAATCATTCACTTTAATTCGAGATTCAATCATGGGCCACCTGAAGGGTTGTTGCGATAGCTTAACGGCTCTGCTGGGGATTATAGAGAGTCAAGTCGAAATCAGTTACTAGTTGTCTTTTAAGCGAAAATTATAAGTTTATGTCTTAATTTAATTTTTCGATCCTCTTTACTTATATTTGATTTTTTTTCCAAATAAATAGTTGTTTTGATGTGTGATTTCAATAATTTTTAGTTTTTTATTTAGAAAAAGAGAACAATGCATCTTTTAAGCTCTATATCCAAGCTTTGTCTCTATTTAAGTGGGGTGAAAACAACGCCTTTGTGAGAGTTTATTCTCCATGTTAAGTCTAGCACTTGGAAGGGTTCGGAAGTCGATTACGTGTGAGGAAAGATGAGCACCACGACATCGCCATTTCGGTACCAACACGGTTACTAGTTCTCTCAATAGAGAAAATCACAATTTAAGTCGAAAATATCCAAATTACTTACCTGTGAGTATTTGATACTATAAAAAAAATAAATTAAGTATGTTAAAAAATAAAATATGAATAATTTGAGTCTTGTAAATGGTAGTCTTGACGAAAATTGAGTATTACAAAAGTCTTACACAAAACTTGTTTTAAGATACGTAGAAAACTATAAGTTATAGAACGGGGCTTGATTAAATGTATGTAGTTCTTGTTTATGCACTAATCTCAATGTTTGTTACGTAGGAACGCATGCATTATTCGATTCAGATGGGGTCATTTTGTGGGTGATTCCTTTTCTCATATTAAATACTAGGCCCTCCCATGCATCTACCAAGAATCTGCAGTCAAATTTTCAGCACTGCTACAGATAAGTGGATGTAATTGGATAACAATGTCAGACTTGGAGGCCTAGACAGTTGCATCATCTCCTTTAGCAGAGGGGATAGAATTTTATGTTATGGGTAAACATATAAAATTTTAAGGGGCAAAACAAATTATTAGAAAATAAAAAAAATATATAATTATATAAGAATTTGAACTCCTTCCAAGATGCCAGAGCCACTAATGAGATACTACTCTAGAAGAGCTAGAGTTCTAACCAAGTGTCATGACATAACAAACATTATGTCCTGCATTCCCATATATGCATGCAACAAGTTCCTTTACAAGAATCTAAATAGATTAAGAACATTACATCGAATTTGTTTAGCATTTGAATAGTGATGATTCAAAATGATAATATAGCAAAGCAATCAGCTAATACTAAGAAGAAGAATCATTAAGTTAACCTAATGGCTATTCCAGAATGCAGGAATAGTTTAACATTATGCATAATTGCACCAAAAAACCAGCAATTATCTATACATCAAGATGTTTTGCTGTCTTTTAAAATCTTCTGCAACTCTTCAGGTTGACAAGGGAGGATAAGGACTCCATATTCTTTTTTAGCCTTCTCTAACAGCTCCACGAATTCTGGCTTTCTCAGATACCTCAAGTCCAAGATAAACCTCCTTTTTTCTCCACCTTTGACAGAAATAACTGCAAAATACCCTTCCTTCACATCTTTTGGGATCATAGTTGGTTCTTTTAAATCTTCATCGAACTCGGAAACATTGTGATCCATCCTTGGTGATGGTAAGACCGAGACGAAACTTAACAGCTTTTTGGTTAGAAGTTTAAACATCATAAGGCCTGCATGGCGCATTTCACTATATAGTTTGGAGTACTAATTTGGAACTTAGAAAATTATTAGATTTTGGTTTTATGATAAAAGTTGCAGACCTCTGAAAGAAATTTATAGCAGATTAAAGGTGGAAACTATAGGTGAACTTTCCGAGGGACATTATGGTTTGCAACTTGCTACCAATCATCATTCAATGCAATCATTGACACCCTTTTCGAACACGGAAAATACCTTTCGAACACGGAAAATAATGGAGGTATTTGATGAGTTGTGATAACCAGGGTTTTAAATAGCGTTCGCGGTCACGTTTTCGACCGCGTCGCGTTTATCGTAGTTACAGATATAACGGATGTTATCGCGTTCACTGCGGGTGTCGCGGTCGTGAATTTTTAAAATTTTTGTACAACTTAACTTAAAACACAATAAAAATAATTATAATTATAAGGAATCATTTTTAAAGTTTTAAAAATGTTTTCTAAACGAAATTGGCATATATATAATATAGTTTAACCAAATAGAAGACTTTAAAAATCCGATTATAGGATAAAATAATTAATTAACGATGACATATGATTTTTAATATTTTTATGTTTTTTTTTTTCAGTTTGGTCTGAATATATAAAATTTAATAGGGAAAATTTTGAACTTTAATATTATTGTGTGTCCTATTTAAGAACTATAAACTCCAATCTATACATTTAAACTCTAAAATATAAACCTTAAATTCTAAAATGCTAACTCATAAATCTTAAATAAAATATATGACAATATTAGAAGTTTAGAATGTTTAGAACCTAGCTTGTAAAATAAATTTTCATCAGTGGTGTATGAAATAATTTTTCTTATTTTCTTTATTTGTTTTAATATACCTCAATTGGCCGAGAAGTTTCTCAGCTCTTCCTTGTTCCCACTTCTCTCAAACCCATCTTCTTCGTTTCTTCCATCCCCATTTTCCGGTTCAATTTTTTCAGTTTTCACTCCACCCATTTCACTCTTCCATGTTCGAAACCCCAAATCTCTCTTGTGAAGATTGCATCTTCTATACGATTCGAAACCTCATTTCACTCTTTTTTGTTTTTCTATACGGTTGAATGATTGATTGCAGTGAATTAGCCACGGTTGAATAACGGTGATTGCGTCCCGTTATCAGTGCAATCGTCCGTTTCCCGTTAAATTGCGGGCACAATCGACCGCAATCTCTGTGAATCCGTGACCCACCGCAAAAACCATGAATTCCAGTTTCAGACGGTAGCGCGACCGCAATATCGCGGCCGCTATAGCGTTTTCGGAACGCTAATTGGTACCATGGTGATAACCATTGAGTATATGCAACATATTATCATGGGAAGCGGATCTCATCTTTTCACAAAAAGACATTTACATTGGTTTTATGGATGAAGCCAAAGAGAGCAACATTGCAGACATATAGATATTCTAAATGGTGATTTGAACTTGTTAACAACCAAAAATAATGGGAAAATTACAACAACACTTGGCTTAATTAAGGAAAGTAAAAAATATAACTTGTAAATCAAGAATAACTTACAACAATATTGACATAATTTAATTACAGCATATAACAGAACTGTTTTTAATACCCAAAAATTGGTCCTGGACTCTTAGAATATGAATTGAAGTAATAGTTACCTATGAGCTCTTAATAATCTACTTTTTCTTATAAGATGTAAATAAATCCAAGAAAAGAAAACCCGGAAAGGCCACCTAATTTAGAGTTAGTAGTCTATTTTCAAGTGTCCTTGCTGATCAATCCAATAATTTCTGAGTCTAGAAGACAAAGTTATTCACATTTATAAACGAAGTAATCATTGAATCAATAAACCCTTTCTTGTTATTCGTACTTTTCAAGTTACTGATATACTTGATCAATATTTTGTTGGAACCGAGTGCTTACAAGATTTCTGTGAAGTCATGGAATCCAATAATTGAATTACACAAATACTCTATAAAAGTTTGAATTTTCACCGTCTAGTACTACTGTGTACAATTTGCGACGGTTGTCTTGTCTAAGAGTTGGTAGACAAGGAAAATGAATGTTGTTAGTACATGGGACCGCAAACAGTAGCATCTCGAATCATTCGAAGAACAGTTGCGTCTGGTTTGTAGGTTTGAAATGACGCTAGATGAGTATCTATGGCCTTTTCTTACATGATATTCCTTTGTTTTATCGAACATGCCCCAGCCAGGCTTTAGCTTTTGGGGTTTAACACAGCAGTTGCAAGGCTTCAATCTAGAAAATGGCAAGTTACATGATAACTTGAAGGCAAAGTTAAGGAAACAATGCTCACGTTCTGAATTTCACTAGCTAACATAACTTGATATTAATCATACAAGATACTATAACTTGACATTGATCAAATGACCAAGTCGATACATTGCGAAAGGACTCGACAGGGAAAACGATCACCGACTAACGCAACGGCCTAGCACTACTGAAATTTAACAAACCTGAGAACCAAGAAAGACATGTTCACCGTAACAAGAACTCGAAATCTTACAAGACATCTTTTATTTGTCCTCATGGTAGCTTTCTATTATGGTAGCATTACATATATTCCAACTTTCAACATTGTTTTTTCTGCTGTGTTCTAGAATCTCCTCTAGTTGATGAGGCTGACATGGGAGAGAAATAACTCCTTTCTGATGGGATCCATATTTGTCCCGAGACTGATCGAGTAGGCTTTGGAATTCAGGGTTTGTTAAGTGGCTTAATTCAATGATGAACATTTGTGCTTCTCCTCCTTCCCTTGTAGAGACTGCAAAACACCCTTCTTTAACATCACCCGGCACTGCTTTACCGACGCTTATGTCTTCGTCAAATGTGGACTGGTTGAGCGTTGGAGATGAGCCGCATGCTGAACTCGAGAATCGCTTTCGTAGTTTCTCGAAAAAAGGGAGGAACATTATTAAGCCTCTTTTTTTTTCTGCCATGTTCTTGATAGACAAGTTCTATGTAAATTTATGAGTTTCTTTGAAATCTACACACTATTTTTGCCAGACTTGAAGGTATTTATACTGGTTTGGGAACCCAAGTTGGAAAATATATTTTAAGTAATGCTGTGGAGCCACAAAGGTTTATACTGTTCTCAACGTGAAAAATTCATTTTTCAAAGCTTTTTTTCTTGATTTCGCCTTATCTAGTTATCTTTCTTCAGGATATTGCAGATAAAGTGGGACAAGATTTAGTGTTTCTTCATGATAAAACCTTTTAAATGATTTGGAAAATTAGTACTCAACGGAACCTTAAATTCATTGACGTAGTATCAGGCCATTAGCATTGTATTTTGATTGTTTTCTTAAAATAGCAGACCAAAAGTATGACCGCAACATAGTGTTATGGTCATATCACAACGTTTTTTTAAGGTCACCATTACATCGTAACTGCAATCTAAAACCATAGTTATTTTTAGGAACTTCACATCTTACAGGTATGCATAATTACATATGCTAAAGAATTTAAGAGAAAAAGAAATCAAATTCCTGGTAAGTTTCAAACTGCAACAGTTTTACAGGGAAAAACTTGTTGACAAAGATGCTAAAAGTGCTTCTTCATTCTTATGATTCTACAAATTTGAATCAGGTGGTATTGCTTCATTTCTGCTTCTGGTTTTTCTTCCGTAAACCTAGTCTTGAAAGTTGTGTGGCACAATACTTCCATTATTACTCAGCACTATGCAGAAGCACTTAGTGGTATTTACAATGACCCTACGCATGTTTGACAGTTGGGAAACAAAGAAATAATGGAGTTATGTGGAGCACCATTGGAGTTTGGACCATAGAAAATAGGTTCGGATTAAGATTTTAAAAATGACAGCAAATGAGATCAGAAATTCTTGATTAATCTACATCACCATATTCCCAAATTCATTTTGTCTACTATCTCACTAGACTGTCCTTGTCTGCAAAATCTTAGCCTCATATTAGAAAATCAATGACGTTCCTATCGAACACGGAATCAAAGTAGTGGTTGTTGATTTCTTAGCTGAAAACTTTATTTACTGATTTACTCAAATTTCAGACAGTTGTAGTAACCATGGAGTACATTGTACATACTATGTGATCTGATGGGATTCAAGTGTTTTTTATTAGACATTGAATCAAATTCTAATTAAAAATTAAGTTGGATTTTATTATAATTTTACTAGTTGAAGATTACTTGGTGATGAAGTTGAATCAGTAAGAATTCTTAATGATCAAGTATTTGACTCTATAAATAGAGAGTATGTCTTAAGTTTTTAAATTATGAGAGAATTATTTTGAAAATATATAATCTTTTTGTAGTGTATGCAACTTTAGGAGTTACATTGCAGATATAAGGTTTTGTAAGGTTATTGGAAGAGTAATTTGATATACTTTGAATTTTGGTTTAAACATCGTATTTTAAGGTACATAAGATATTATGTATTTGTATTCTTTGTGAATTTTATGTTTTTATTAGATTATTATTCTTCTCATTGATTGAGGTAAGTGAAATTGAACCACATTAAATCTCATAAATTCTTCACAGCTACCAGAAAACTGTGAATGAAAATTGATAAATATTTACAAACTCTAATAGGTCATGTAGTTTAGAGTAGATTATCCCTTAATTTCCAAAAACCAGATCAGTGACACTGAAATTATTTCTGAGGCAGGAGGACTAAGTTAACGTAGGGTAAATGGGTGTTGGCAGTGAGTAACATTTAGTGAGTCATATAGGTTCATCATATGAACTCGCCCAGCAACCAGATCTTATATTATCTTTTCTTGTATGGATTTGTCATTAAACCTTTGCATGCAATAACTTTATGGTTGATTTCTGCACCATGTATTTACTTTATAAGATCAACAGCACATAATTAAGCTGTAGCTAATTCTTGTCTTGTTCTTTTATATATAGAAAAAGAACAAGGTAAAAATACAAAAGAGATTCTCGTACTTTTGGGGGGAAAATTAATGTGACCTTATATTATTTTTTTCTCTCTCAATGTTGCCTTCTAACTCAGAAAATAAATCCAATGTGA